CGCTAGCACCCGCGTTCCATTGATCGCACGTGAGCGCGTCGAGAACCAAATTATGACGCACGATTTGTGGTGGGGTGATCAAGACAGTGTCTGCACAGCTAGCAGCTGTTCAACATGAGAGGTACTGTTATCAAATTCATTCGAGCGTGTACGAAACAATGTTGTGAGTTCACTTATATATGCGGTGTGTATATGCTCGCGAGTACTGATCAAGGCCCGGGTTATGCTGTAGGATTCTGTATCATAATCGGCGCATTCTCTCCTGTTGCAACTACGCGCCTTGCTCGTTACCGGTCACCTCTCGGCCGCATCGAAGACTCAATATTCAATGCCACCGTGGCCTTTTCTGTCTAGGCTGGACTTCCTTCGGTTCATGCTCGCCCTCTACGCATCCCGGCTGCGTCCCGTCGCGGTCACAGCACGACCACGTAAATTGGTCTGGATATTGTCTGCGGTTCTCCTCGGTGTCCATCGGCCCGTGCACGTTCTCGTCCCACTCAATCCACGAGTCGTCGTCCTCGCTTGGCTCGAGCTCCCCTACAACGCGGATGGCAATTACTCAGTCCTCTGTGGGTGAATTAACACCGTGCCGTAGAGGAAGCTGACCTTCATGATAGCTACATTCCGTTGCTCGCCTGACGGTACCTGCGTCATATTCTTCTTCGCAGTTCTCGCATATCCGCCAGCGAGAGATCATCGGCTCCGCCCTCGCGCGAGCTCCCGGATTGGCCGCCGGGGCGGCGTTCCATGGAGCCACCGGTAGAGCGGGAACGGCGACGAGCATACCGAAGACACGCTCGGTGATCGCAGGGATGCTGTCCACGAGCGCGGCGAACGCCTCGCGGACGCGATCCTCCGGGGCAGAGGCGATCGCGACGTGCAGTTGCGCGCGCGACGCGTCGTCTAGCACGTGTGGCTCGTCGAGCCCGGCCGAACCGCGGTTCACGTTGGAGGGGCCGGCCGTAGGTGCGACGTCGCCGTCGTCGCTGTCGCTGCTGATTGAGATGACTCCGGGTTCGTCTTGCGGATCGCTCATGAGGGTAGGTGGGGGAGTGGCGAGCGGCTTACGATAGTTCGGTCGCCCTTTATATCGCTGGTGCGACTCCGCCACCAGGCCCGTCGCTAGCAGGCGCGTTCCTTTGATCGCACGTGGGCGCGTCCCGAGGAACCAGGTATGACGCGCATTCATGGTAGTGAAATCAACGCCCGAGAACATCGTGTTTGTACAACGGAGAAAAAAGAGAGGTACTGTTAGCGCGCTCATTCTGGCGTGTATGAAACGTCGTTGTTAGCTGTTCAATATGCACAGGTCGGAGATATAGATCCACTCCCAATTCTCAATACCTCTCGGACCCGCCCGTCGGTTTAATCCTGGGTAGGCTGGCGTCCTCTATATTTCGGCATCATGCTGTAACGAATAAGTCACCGTCAGACTGTGTTTGCGAAGGTGGCGAGAAGCCGCGTATACGGACCCTTCCTGTTCTGTGAGCTCCGGCAAGAGCTCGCTCTGACCCTTATGACCTGACCATTTTGGTACTCCGTCTGGCACTTCCATCACGCGCTGGCTGTAGAAAATGTGCGCGGTGGGCTGGAAGTCGAGCGGGACGTTGCCGTCTTGGAATTTGAAGGCCGACGGGTATGCGAGGACTGTGTTACGGCCCTCGTCGAACATGGGGGAGCGGCATTCATTACAGGAGACCTGCACGCGGGCGTTAGTCTGCTAGTTGAGATATCTGACAACGAGAGTTATACTGGCTTTGCATGGGACGTCGTGGACACCTTGCCGTCTTTGGGTGGAGAAGAAGTGGAGGCTATCATTATTGTTCTTCACCATTCGGACAGAGGTCTGCGTACCGTGACGTTTGTCAGTGACCCACGTTCGAGCAGGAAAAGAGGGCATACCTTGGGGAATATGACCGCCCACTGAAAGGGCGCGCCGTGGAGGTGTTGACATTGCTTGCAGTGACAATGCTTCGCATCTACAGGATCTCCATGAAACTCGAATGCGAGGTTCCCGCACCAGCATTGCCTGTGCCCATGCGCCCGTGAATGGCGGTTGGTGTGGACGCAGTCATAATATCCGAGCGTACGAGTAGTACTTGGGCTCGAAAAGATCACCTTCGCTTCTCCAGTCGTACGGGGGTTTGTGCATGAAGCCTTGTTCGCTGCCTCCTCCCTGCTGACTGGGAATGGGCCCCGTCCATCCAGTATTCGTATTCGGCTTTTGGCGTAGTATTTCGTGATGATCCTCAGGAGGTGGATGAGGCACAACGGATTGAGCACTGTCGGGTTTGTGTTTGGGAGCCTCGAGGTGTAGTACGTTAGGTTGCATGGACATTTTGCGTATGTTTTGAGGATTCCGGAATAAGGGCTTCGCGGCAGCGGGTGGTTAACTTGCGTTAAGAGAATTTATAGTGGAAGAGGTGAGTACGTAGATGCAGCTTGCCGTACTGCCCGCTCAAGTGGTGGATGCGGAGGACTCGGAGTGCGAAGACTGCCCTGACGTCACCTTTCCTGATAGCCACGTGACCGTGTCACCTACGCGTCATCCTGTCATTCCAGCAAGCGTAACCTTCGCCGCCAAGTTCTTCGATCGTTTGCTCGTTCGACGTCTTGGACCCGTACCGCCATCACCTTTTCAAGGGGCCCGTTCGTCGTCAGCATATAAGGCAGAGAATCAACATATTCCCTAGTAACGCCTCGTCACCATGCCCTTCTTCTCCAAGCTAGTGCCATCCGTCGTGTCCGCGTTCGGTCTACAGACAGGTATTTGTGCCATATAATAACCCGCATTAACGAACTGAACCAACACGATGGGCGGCAAAAGCACTGGCGTTGATATTTGTGCCCCAGGCAAACGAGAAATTCTACGACCTAGGAGGATCCATTGGCTTCATCTCCACGACGCTCGTCTCCCTCTACTACCCTCACCTCAAATTGAAATACTGGGACCGCGTTCCCAACGCCATATTGCCACCTATCACTTCATTCGCTCCGCGACAGATTTTGCTCAATGCTGCCATCCTCGCCTGGTCCACTAGACTTGGTTCCTTCCTCTTCTCTGTGAGTTGCACGCATTCCACATCGCGCGGTATCTCATATTATCCGCGCAGAGGGCCATGAAGGCGGGCGGTGACTCTCGATTTGACGAGGTGAAACATAAGCCTGCGGTATTCACGGGATTTTGGATGGCACAGGCCACGTGGGTAATGCTGGTTGGACTGCCAGTATATATGGTAGGCATTTTTCTCTTGACCAGTTCTTATCACATCATGTGGCAACATTGCCCGAATATATGTGATGCTACGGCAATGCGTATACTAGTAATGCCCTATCGTATACCATGAGGGCCGGGGCGTCCGAATTTCACACCCAGCGTCTCGCTCATAATGGCGTATTGCTTCTCAGGTGAACACTCTGCCCCCTGCAAACCATCCTGGACTTGAACGCCTGGACTATGTATCCCTCGCGCTGTTAGCCGGTTCTTGGCTATTCGAGATTGGTACGTAATGCCAATTCCCGTGATTTTCAAAGACTGTCCTAACGCAGATGTGCAGTCGCCGACCACCAGAAGTCTTCTTGGCGTCATAGAAGGGACAACAAGGAACATGATGAGAAGTTCATCACCCGGGGTCTGTGGGGAATAAGCAGACACCCCAAGTACGTCTTCGTGTCAACTCTATGTGCGCCTGAATGCTCAGAATGGCTTAATACCATCGATTGGCGCTGCAGTTACGTCGGCGAGGTGGGCGTATGGACGGGGATGTGGTTGCTATCGGGAGGCTCCCTGCGCAGCTCCTTCTTTCCGAAGGCGGCGTGGCTCATCGCTGGCGCTAGCCCACTCTTGACGTGGTTCCTATTGACGCGCGTCTCGGGCGTCCCCCCTCTGGAGGTACGTCCTGTTGGCACGCGGAAGCAGGGATAATCTGACCATCGTGTGCAGCGGGCTGGGGACAAGAAGTTCGGGAATGACGCAAAATGGCAAGAATACAAGCGGTGAGTCTGCATGCCCTGTTTTAAGAATGTCGAGGGCCATTGTTCGCAGGCACTGCGGTCGATGTTTCTCAGGGGGTATACTGTAGTTGGGGTGGCTTCTGAAGCCGCGCGTGTTGAATCTTTGCATCTATCCAATCGCGGAATACAAGGAGCGATTTCTGCACTTCACCTTGCACTAAGTCTGCTTCGCGAGTTCCTTACGGAAGCGTGTCAGCGACTGTCCCCGCCCCCACGTATTGTACGTGACGTGGTAAGGTGGCGGCATCGGGCCGGACATCACTGCTTCGTCCAGATCGTCGACTCGACTATGGACTAGCTGGCTAGGATTTTAGTCTGCCGCTTATACGACTTTGACTTGCCAGCGTCGATGATGTTACTGATCAACCTTCCTTCGCGCTTAGGACCGTCCCTGTATTCTGGCCGTGGTTTAAGGCAGGGACGGGAAAGCCCCAGTGATTGGTACCGAATATCCTGAGGCACGGTGCGTGAACCGTGGTTCCCGCTATGACCAGGAGACATCGCTTATCGAAGGGCCAGGCACGACGGTGTTTCCCAACGGTTGGCGCTATACCGCCGGTACGCATTGAATTTGAGGTGAAGTCGTGAATTCCGAGTCTATTTGGCGGCGACGGCGATGACCTTTCTTGTGCAAGAACCTGGCAGCTTGTCCGGGTCCTCCCCGCGACGTGACTTGGTATTGCGGTACCACCATATCTGTGTATATTACGGCGTTGTTGCGATCGCGCTCAAGTTCCGCTGTTCGTCCCACGTAGAGATGTCTCACCTGTGAACGATGTACTTTGTTGGAAACGCTCGATCGGTGTCCGGCTCTTCGCAGTAGTGTGCTATGAATAAAGTTGACCCTACATATAAGCGTCATGATTCTCTTCCACCACGAACGTGAGGCTGGTTTACGACCCGACGTCATGAAGGTCGTTCTCCTGAGAGGTATGTTATTTGGGAGCATGCCTGCCCAAGAATCCCTGGAGGCCTTCAACCTTTATGGGCGTTTAGCACAGTGGTAGCGCGCCTGCTTTGCACTATATGTAGCAATTTGCATGAGGTCAAGGGTTCAATCCCCTTAACGTCCAACCACATCTTTTTCGTCCGCGATGGCAAGGTTTAACACGCGGCCGGAGAAGCACGGGGCGTTCTAGCAAGATTGATTGATTAATGGCCTGGGCGTGTGCGTCTGCGCAGATCGAGCAAACAGAATTCCAACTCTTCCTCCGCCTTCCTCGTACGGCATCGATGAAAGTTCCACGCTCCTCCTCCCGCTCACTGAAACCCAGCGACGCTCCTAGGCGAGATCGGTCCCCCGCCGTCGTTCAGTTTAAATAAAAGTCGCCCCGCTGCCTCGCGCCATGAGGTCCGCCCGCGCCCGACCCCCGAGACCCTGTCCTCGATGCTTGAACGCCGTCTTCCTGATATATACTGCACCTCGCCGCCGACACCGTCTGAAATTTGAACACTGACAGCAGCTTCTTGTTCAAGGCCTTGACAGCGCTACAGCACCCGGTGCGTCTCCGTATATATACGCCTCATCCTACTCTGACAGACGTTGAAGATCTGCAGAGCTATAGGGGCGGCTCACCAGTACTGTGCTCATCCGTGGCTTGCTACCCGTCACCCATCGCCTCGCCTCAAATATTCTTGGTTTATCTTCGGGTTACTTGACGACTGCTAGAGAACACGCATGGCCTCCCTCGGACCCGAAACACCAGCGGAGCTCGCTGTCAAGGCGGACTTCGGACGCAACATCTGGGCCGTCTTCCAGGACCTGTACGAGGACAAGTGGGATCAAGGTAGGAACGACCGACCGAGCTCTTACCGTCAGTCCACACGATGATTGAGCTAATGCCACCGCGTATCGCAGGTCGCTGGAACACCGCAGTCGGTGGGTGTGATCCGCCGCATGTGCCGTCGGAGCTGCTGGCTCACCGTCGCACACTTATCTCCAGCGCGGTTCAAAACGGCGCACGACCCCGCCGTCGTGCAGCGCTTCTGGGCTCGCGCGAAGCTGCCTGCGTGGGACGCGCTCGAGGTGCAGTTCCGCAAGGGCCCGCCGCCGTTCCTCCGGCCGGGCTGGACGAGCCCCCTCCTGGGCAAGCGCGTCGACCTCCGGTGGCTCGACGTTGGCCCGTTCGAAAACATCAAGGGCTCCGTGGACGGCTGGCGGGACGCGAAGCTGCTCATCATCGAGTTCTGGGCGTCGTACGTGCAGCTTCCTCCGCTAGTGCTCGAGCCGCAGCGGGGCGTGTGTCGCGGCTGAGATGAGGGGGTGAGCTTGCCGCGCTTGGCGCCCGCAGGGGACTGGCTGCCGGTCGTTTGCGGGCGCGGGCGGAGGCGAAGCGCAGGAGGCTCCCGCGGCGCTCGCCTCGGAGTGCAGCCCGTGCCGCTGCCGCGTACGTCAGAGTGTGCAGCATACTGACCCCGAGATCTTCTTTCCCCCGGTGCAGATGGTGCAGGGTGCGTGCAATATGGGACATACACGGCTTAATTGCCTTCGCACTGACCCGCGCCCGCGCGTCCACGTTCCCAGCCATGCCTGGCGGTCTTCCGCGACCTCGCGGTCCTCGCGCGCACGCGCCCCGACGTCAAGGTCGTCGCCTTCAACGCGGAGGGCATCTTCACGCACGCGCCCATCGACGTCGCGGCCGTGCGCCGGTTCGTCGCGCGCCGTGACGACATGGACTACCCGATATACATCGATACGCATCGGGTCGCGGTCAATTGTGCGTGTGCCGCTCTCCCACCCCCACCCCCGCGTTCCTTGTTCCTGGCCCCCCGTCCCCGTGTCCGCTGCGTCTGGCGAGAAGTGCGCTGACTAAGCGTCTTCGGTATCACAGCGATCTTTCAGCCCGGCCAAAATCTCTCTATCCCCTTGGGTGCGTGGCCAGTTCGCGAGCTTAATGAAACTCTCTTTCGCGGGCTCAGGGGACGTGCGGGACTGATCTCATGCGTGCTGTTGTTCTCTAGCGTTCATCATCACGCCCAAGGACGGCGTCGTACAGTGGGTGGGGAACCCCGAAGAGATGGCAGCGCCCCTCGAACGCGCTCTTGGCACTGCCTAATTGCGATCGTGCACGAAAATCTGGAACGGCCGGCTCGAAGAGAAGAAGGGGGCCTCGGGCCCTATAGCGGGGGCAGAAGTTTATTGTATAGCCTGACGAGCCGTGTTCAAGCGGGCGTCGAAAACCAGGGTCCCAGCCGGAACCGGAAATGTTGTTTTGTATACCAAAATCCCGCTCGAATCGTGTATTCCACTTACTTCTTGGGCATGCTTGTATGATATCAATAGAAAAGAGTTCTATCATGTCTCGCGCGCCACCGTACGTGCTTCGAGTCCGATGGTGACGCAACTTCTGTGGGCTGTCTCTAGGGTGTTAGAGTTTCATACTCGCGTCCCGTACCAATCACAGCGGTGTGGAAAGAAGGTCGGAAGCAGCCGGCCTGTACAGTAAGCACAGCGCGGCGAACGAGTACGCGACGCACCGATGTCTGCAATGTGCGCTGTCTGGCCCTGAGCCGCTGACGTCTGGCAGCTGGCTGTGATGCAATGAAAGCGGATCGCCTCTTCTCGGAGCGCGGCGTCTCAGCTCGCCGCTGCATCCCCGAGCGTTCCGAGCGCGGGGGTCACGCAGGCACGGCGCTGGTGCATCTGAATACTCGAGACCTGACTGCCGCTCTGCAGACGGCGTTTCTATCTGCTTCACGTGAGCCGCTGGACGAGCGTTGCGAGACAGGGCGACGTACCAGCGTTCGATGCGTCGTAGGCGTCGTTCAAATGTCCACACGAAGAGCCCGCAAGCAGATCAGGTGGAAGCCGGAGATGAACGAGAACACCTGGGAGGCATACGACTTCCTTGGACGATCGCAATTGCGCTTCTGGTCCGATAGTGAACCGTGTCAGCCCGCCTGGCGCGGGTGGCCATTGGTCCAAATGCGCTGCATCAACTGCGCGTCTTGTGAAGCCATATGGGCTCGCCGCTTACACGCCGCAAGGATGTTCTGTGTCGCCGTCGCATAGTGCTGGAGATTAATTGCGTACGCACCGGTGGTCCGTCGCAGGTGGTTCCAGCCGAATACAGGGCCAGTAGGATGCGCCGGATATCTTGGGCTCCCGCATGTCCACAGAAGGGAAGGCGGCCACCCAACGAATAGACGTAACGGTCCGCATGGACACAGTGACCCTCACTACTGTCAGTGAGCACTAGCGCGAAGGATGGCCATGCCGTACCTTCTCAGAAACCCGTGTCTTCCCGCGGCAAGGTGTAGACACGGTAGGCCATCCGAACAGAAGCGCCACGAGCGTACACCCCGCTGAGATGTGGGACGGTGGGGGTGCTCAGGCTAGCGGTGCAACGTTCTGCCAACAACGTGAGCTCCGACGCAATGAGAGGCACCGTGGGACGGCTGCGGCCGCTGACGATCCTTGACGCTCACCTATACGCCGGACAGCTGTCGTAACTGCCGGCTAATTCACCCTAGGGCTGGATCCCGCAAGGCGGGCCCGGGGGCAATGTAGCTGCCGTCCACGGCCGAGGGGACCCTGGGCGACTGGCACATGCCAGCGGCGCAGATGGACTGACGACGGCGTGGCGAACGCTCCTTGGCGCGGCCTTGTTCGAGGCCCACGACCCGCCGTTAGCGTCATGTCGAGACGCCTGCTCTGTCGCGCCGTGGCGCAGTCAGGAATCTTCAGGAATGCGGCGGCCTTCTCCTCGTCGTACCAGAATAGCGGCTCCGCGATTTGTGGCCTCTCGCGCTGCTCGGTGCGCTAGTGGGAACAGAGTGATTGAAAGGGCGTAATGAGATGCGTTAATGCAGCAGCACGATCGCGGGAGCGGGTGATCCGACCTTCCAGCGGGCCATACCGCACAAGGTATGGGAAAGGAGCACACGGAGGCAGGCGCCAGAACCAGGCCTTGGCCACGGCGGACTCCCAAAAAGACACTTGATAAGGGCGCCAGCCGCAAGCGAGGACGGATGCTCGGGTGCGCTGAACGGTCGAAGCCGCTCAAATTGAAGGTCCTCGTTTCTGAGAGGTCAGATAAGCGGTCGGCCTCGTCCTGGCTCCGCTGACACTCTTGAGGCATGTCAATGGCCGTTGGGGAACAGTGGATCTGGCTAACCCAGAATTGCGACGCCCGTGGGGTAGTAATGCAGCCGACAGCTCCTCATGATTCAGAGAAGATGAACGGCTGGGGAAACGGTCCAAAAACAAAAGTCCTACCGCAATGTAGGTACTTTCGGAGACACCACAAATGCCAGGTCGCCTATGCTCGAACAGCGCAGCGGTTTCAACGACGTCAGCCACGCGTAGGACGCGGGTAATTGGCAGTGGCCCCAAGAACGGTGATATCATCCCATACATACCTTTAGGGACTATTTTTAGCTCAAGGTTTCCTGCTGCATAGTTTGAGGTGTCACAACGCTCTGGACGCTACTAGCGCGGACGGAGGAGATGTGGGGTGCTGCCAGCGGATAATGAAAGAAGTCATCGGCAGTAACCGATGCCTCATTGACTACGGGAGCGGTGGGGGGTGCCAGTATCCGTGACTTCGGCTTGGCCAGTGCTCGGAGTGAGCCGCGGTGAGAGTTGAGTTCGCTGTCACTGGATTCGGTGCCGTGGGCATACGGGGAAGCAAATGGATCGGGTCCTCCAGAGGGCTTGAAAACTGGCCAGGCGCCGAGCGAGCGGACCCAACTCAACATTCGACACAGTGGTGGACGTCGGAAAGAAACTCTGGTAGACGCCCGCAACGCTCATCAACGCGTTTGATACACACGTGGCGGGAAAAGGTGTACATTGATGATTGCACAGCACGCTCAGTAAACGCCACCAGTAGGGGCAGGGACATTCGAGATCGGGGGCACGATCGGGAGACAGCTAGGAACACGCGTGTACGGTGCTGTAATGTGTGGCAGGCACGGGCACCACACGATGCCTATGTCCACATGCATCTACAGCAGGCGGCTGTCCTCCGAATAGTACGCGGAAATACGTCATAGCGGCCGCCGAGTCCAAGAAGTGGGGGAAGTGAGAATGTGTCCGGCGGCGAGAGTGTATGTCTAGAGTACGAGGCTG